CACTGATACATTTCATATTAAATTGAGAAATTCAAGTTCACATCCTACGTTAACAAAAATCTCTAGTATGTACATGAAAAAGGTGAGCTGAACACAATCAAAGTCCAAAATCTATCAGTTAAATCATCATCATGTAAAATCATCTAATTTTACCCGAAATTGTTGATACATTGCAGTTCTGTTGAGCCGTACGACTGTTGTAACGACCGTAACTTGCGCACCCGTTTACGGCCGTATGTTCAGTGACCGTACCGCGGCTGTCACCGCGCGTTGCAGCCGTATTTCAAGTGGCCGTACTGCAGCTGTATCGCGCGTCTCTCTTCACAGTTGCTCTTTCTTCATGACTGTCGTATTTCGTTGATATAGATGCCTCACGGTCAGTCTGGCCGTAGATTACTTGTAGGTTTACTGCGGCTGATGGTTGTGACCGTATTGTTTCTTCTGGTGAGAACTGTGACCGTACCGATGATAATTGCCCCGCAGTGCTCTGTAGTTGAGTCTCCGTGACTGCAGGTGTTATAACCGCTGGACAACTCGTGGGTTCTCGCGTTGTCGCACGGCTGAGTCGCAGCCGTAGTGTTGATGTTGACCGTATAATATGTTGAAGTCGTAGCCGTAGTGTTGATGTTGACCGTATAATATGTTGAAGTCGTAGCCGTCCATTGCATATGTTTGACGCGCTCACAAGAATCGTAACTGCCTCGGTGAGTCTAAGTTTCTCGCAAGTCGCGACCGTCAATGTTCGAAAACGATAACAACGCGGCCTCACGGCCGCAGCCGTTACGTCCGCTAACTGCAGACCGTACGTGCGTGACGGTCTCCGCCGTAGAACCAAACAACCCATGGCGCCAATTCTGAGGTCCTTATATACGCTAGAGTCGCCCACAGTTACGCCTAACCCTCGAAGAGACGCCACATTCCTTCGAATGGAATGTCCCGCGTGCTGAGAACGTTCAATGTAAAGTAAATTCCTTCCCACGCTCTCGAAACAACCGCGCCGCATTCTTATCATTCTTAACACCTATGCATAATGCATGTTCAATATTACCTACTTTATTCATTTCCATTCAACTTCCCTAAAAAAAGGCTCCAGCCTTTTTTTCTATCCTAGTGATATTTGTTAATGTTGAAAGCGAACAAACTTACATTACAATCAATTGATAAAATTAAATTATTCGTGACCACCATTCGTACACATGAATTATTTCTTGACATTCCCAGTAAACGATCATTATTCCAACATACAAATCGTTAGCCTAATATCTCAAGATCCCTAAATTCCTTCGTAAACACTTGAAAATGAAACATCCTACAAAATATTCACCTAAAACAAGAATTATTCGTATCAACTCAAGATACGACACCGATACATTTCTATTAAATAGTCTTCGCACAGACAAGAATCATCCACAAAACTCAAACACATTAATATCATTCCCAATTCAATTCTTACATCTTTATCACCTTTTACTTTATTAAAGCATATTACTCCGAACACCGGATTTTACACTCATTTGTCGCAGAACTAAAGCACTACGTGAGTTTCAACATTTACGGGTTGCAGCGAGAACAATGTCTCCTGCGTATCTCTTGTTTAAGAATTCAGACAAGCAGGTTGGTGAACTAAAAACAAAGAAAAAATGAAAACCTATCCCTACCTACAACATATCCTCAACTTGACCAGTGTACATTTTCTAGAGCCTTCACTCGAGCAAAAATCATCGCGCCTTATCAACCGCGCATTTTCATGTCAAATCTCCGCCTTTTCAACGGCGTCTCATCATTTCAAAAATCTCTGCCACCCTAGCAGAAAGAGTTCCCTTCCTGACATGCCTGACTCATTTCCCTAAACATTTCCTTATAATTGAGTTCTTGCAGAACTATTCAACAAACTTCTCGTAATTCATCATCCTATGCTGCAAAATTCATCATCCTAGATCATCACCTCGGTCTTTAATATCTCAATAGAATCTATGGTCTCTATTACCTCTCAAATCCACGTAAGTTTTTATGACTCGCTCGTAATAACCTTGCTTTCAAAGCGGCAGCACCCTATTCGAAATCTTCGTACGTCACACTGTACTCACACATCCTATAATAGTTACATTTCCCGTTACAATTATCCGAACTCATTCTCGCTCATTAAACTCATTACTATAGTTATATCAACCAAATTCGTACGCAATTAAATTCTTGTAACCAATGGACTCAGTCACATTCGTACATCGTCATCAATCGCTCGGCAGTGTAGCGTTATTCTAAGTTAAAATGAACGCGACAACTTCTACACTTAACTACAAGTCAAAATACTTGGCATAAAAATTTTCCTACTAAAATTTAATTTCTGAAAAGTTTCAATAAACATAAATCTTGCGGCATCGAGTTATTAAAACAAATTACAATTTTTTTTAAATCGATCTGTACAAATTTCTACTCAGCAAAAAAAAATATCAGAAAATATCTATTTGATAAAAAATGTCCCTTTTGAGCATATATAAAAAAAATCACAACGCGAATATAATTTCGACAACTAGAAAAAAAATGATATCACAAACAATAATCTTCTGAACGTGAAACTATACCGTTTGTGCTTTTTAGTGTGCAAGATTGATATTGTTAATCATCCTTCTACCTTCGATTCTAGCCACAAAATGCGAGAAAAAAAATAAAATAAAATAAAAGTTTAGATGGATCACTAGAAATCACTACACAAGTAAAAAAAATTATGCCCGCCTGACCACCTTAATCTCTAAATTCTTCTTTAATAAGCTATGCATTATCTCTACAAATTATTTCGAATTAATCTTACACTTCGAACTTTTGAGAACACTCGCATAGAATCAGACTCACTGCACTATACGATCAATAATTTTTTAGAGACATAACTAATGAAATAATTTTGTTGTCATCTCTATTGCATGGGAAAGAACAAAATCTTCTCAAACAATTTCTGGCACAATATCGACGGTCCTAAATTTCACACAGTGGCTAAAATAGATTTCCGCAGAATTAAAAATGTCAGCATTAAAACGGAATTATTCTATGAATACAAAACTACATTGTATGAGGTTATCCTAGGATCCTATCTCTTCTTATAATGCGATGTAGGATGGATAAGGTATTCAAGGGGATTAACTAAGGGGAAGTTGACCCGAACGCAGGTCGATAGTAATGACAGGTGGTGAAAGAAGGGGATGGGAGTTGTCGAGAGAAAATTAAGGGGAAGATGTACACGGGCGTGCTCATAGGACCATTGACCAAGTTAATTGTGAGGAAGCTAGTTTTGTTCTCGGGTTATGAGTTGAAACTGAATGATATATAAAAAAAATACTGTAGGCTAGCCGACATTATTTTTTTTAGGGTTCTTGAGGGGATGATTAGGAATAGGAATAAATTATAAATAAGATAAGAATAGGGATTGATGACTAGATTATTATAAATTATGAATAAGATAAGAATAGGGATTGATGACTAGAAGCAAATTTTGAAGTAGGGGTAGGAGCTCGAGCCGTCTAGCGCGCATGCGCGAGAGGGGGGGGGTATTTAAGAGCGAGCGGGCCCACCGCGAGCCAGTCCCGTTCCGGTGTTAGAGGCAGTCGGACCTCACCGCGAGTCAGTCCCGTTCCGGTGTTATCGTGGACGCAAGTGTAAAGTGGTTGCAAGTAATCGCGACGAAGGAGATAACTGGGAGAGTCGAGACGAATATCGTGAGCATCGAAGTACTGTTCAGAAGAGACTACTTAGCACGCCGTTTACCGACAACCGCCGGGCAACGAAGAATTCGATGACTGGGAAGAAGTCCTCGTATTCTAATCGACGAAGTCCTGCTCAGGGGAACTATTGGAGCACTACGTTTATCGACGAAGATAGTTTATTCCTGAAGTCAACGTCTACGAATTCCGGAGAAGAATAATCGACCTGCGAATAGATTCACCGGAGTGGCCTGCAAGTTTCCTGAATCTCCAGTGAACCTCACACAATCGACCTGCGAATAGATTCACCGGAGTGACCTGCAAGTTTCCTGAATCTCCAGTGAACCTCACCCAATCGACCTGCGAATAGATTCACCGGAGTGGCCTGCAAGTTTCCTGAATCTCCAGTGCACCTCGCCCAGAGCGCATCGTCAAGAGCTGAGATTGACCAGTCTCGCAGGCGGAGATTTAATGAATTCGCCAAGGGATTTCCTCTTCCTAAGCGGTGATGTACCCATGTTAAATTGATAAAATCTATAGCGTTCTCGTGTAGCCACCTTTGTTTAGTTCTCGCGGTATTAGTTTCAATTTACAATTCCGGGCCTGTTAGTAATTAGGTTTGAGGTTGTTGTCTCATGCCCAGATTGGTATAGGATAGGATTGATTCTTCTGCAAGTAAGCCTATGCACTCGTCATTCTCACCGTTCCTAGCTCTGTAACTAGGCGTAGGGTATTTTCTTTTCTAGTTTATGAAGTTTGATTAATGTTTGTGTCATTCTCCTTGTTAAATCGCATTGCCAGCAGTAGAGAACCTTCAACGCGCCTCGTTTGACCACTCGGACAATGTAAAGTACAACCAACCTGACAGTTTAAATGTTTTATGAAAAAGAAACTCTGCCGAGGATAAACTAAAAATTGATAACTTGCCGTAGGCTTTAAAGCGTACAGCCCAAGAAATAGCGAGAGCTAATATAGAACTCAAATCAAAGTTCAACAGATAAATTATATGCAATTAGGAATAAAAGGACTTTCCTATGCTAATCAAGTGTTCTAATAATCTTAACTGGATTGTTACGCAGTGCTCTATTGATAATAATCTGGATAGAATAATCTTGATATTAATCTGGAAAAAATAATCTTGATAATAATCCAGATATAATTGAGATAGCATAGCATAGTAATACTTTTTTTCTATGCTCTGAAGATTTTTCGCGGTTGTGTTGGTACGTAGTGCTATATTGATAATAATCAGGATAGAATTATCTTGATAATAATCCAGATATAATTGCGATAGCATAGCATAGTGAGACATTTGTTCTATGCTCTTAAGATTCTTCGCGGTTGTGTACCCACTGAGCCTGAGGGCAGCGTCCCGGCGAGGCCAGCTCATGCTGGCCGTGGCGTGGCTCTTAGCCTGCAGCTGCTCCGTGCCACAGGTCGGGGGCCACTTTCAGGCGGCGCAAAACTGGCAACTTTTGCACTTCTTGCATGGGCAATTTAGGAAGGGTTATTGCATGGGAAATTATTCGTGGCTCTTAGCCTGCAGCTGCTCCGTGCCACAGGTCGGGGGCCACTTTCAGGAGGGGCAGAACTGGCAACTTTTGCACTTTTTGCATGGGCAATTTAGGAAGGGTTATTGCATGGGAAATTATTCGTGGCTCTTAGCCTGCAGCTGCTCCGTGCCACAGGTCGTTGCCACTTTCAGGCCGGGCAAAACTGGCAACTTTTGCACTTCTTGCATGGGGAATTTAGGAAGGGTTATTACATGGGAAATTATTCGTGGCTTTTAGCCTGCAGCTGCTCCGTGCCACAGGTCGGGGGCCACTTTCAGGCGGCGTAAAACTGACAACTTTTGCACTTCTTGCATATGGAATATATAGGATGAGTGATTGCATGGGCAATTTAGGATGAGTAATTGCAAGGGCAATTCAGGATGAAAAATTGCATGGGCTGGGATGGGCTAGGATGGGTAATTGCATGGGCAATTGAAAATTATTTCGAGGATTATGAACAAGCTTTCGTAGGGCAGAATTAAATATTTCTGTGTTGCGTAGTAGCCTGTCTCGCGCTAGCCGTACATCAAATAATGATTTTGGATATAAATCTTTAGTTTTAAATTTCTGTTTAATAAAAGTTTGCTTTCTCATTATGTTTAGTTAGCGAGCTCCCGCTAACTGACTAGGTGTCTTCGATTAGTGGCGGGTTGATTCGAGAGCTAGTTTTTCGAGAGAGCTACACCCAGGCGGAGCTCTGATGTTGTGTTACGCTGCTTTTGCCACGAGATGGTTTTGCGTGTAACGTGTAACTGCCTAACTCTAATAAACTCTTTGAACTGTGATCTGTGCCACGTTTACCCTGAAAACCCGGAACGAACGACCCGACTACAAAGTTTATTTATAATTTATGGAATAATTTTTGATTGGTTTTATACCAGCACAAGATGCCAGGGGCTATCTTGGATTATGTGGACTTTACAACTTTGCAACGCCAGTGCCCGCGGAAGAAAATTCTCTATTCTAAACACCGTCAAATGCTTCTATTAGACAATAAAACGGAACCGTTAATAGCTTTGTAATCAAAACTATTTTATTCTAGCGCCCTAGAGAAAGTAACGCTTTGAAAAATGATAAATTATGTTTTTACCTCGCAGCTTTTAAAATTTCCTGATAGTGATTGTCATCGAGAATTCGTAGGACGTAACAATTTTATTTTTCCTTTTAATTCTTTTTCAAGTTTCTAGTCGACAAATAAGCACGCAAAGCTAAAAAAAATATTCATATATTATTAAAGTGTTTATTTCTTCATTAAAATATTTATAGATCAATAGATTAAATTATTTTTGCGCTGTGGTCCAGATGTTGATCTTCCACGTGGACCGCCACGAGGTACACCGGCACTACCGTCAGTGCGTGACGTTCGGCTCCTTCCCGTCCCTTCGTCATGAGATGGTGTACAACCTCTTCTGTCTGACGATGTTATACGTGGCACCCATCACCATCATCGTCATGTCCTACGGTGCCATCGTCATCACTATCGTCCGCAAGACTAAACTCACCGCTGATGGTGAGTCCTGCTACGTGAATTATTTAATCGAATGACCAACATAATTATTTAATCGAATGACCAACATAATTATTCTATCGAATGACCAACATAATTTGACCAACAACAGCTGTAATAGTAGTTTAAATCTATTAATACCATGGTAATCGAAGTTAGTCTCATTTAGCTATTACCGCGCCAGTGCTAGAAAATTTAGTGAGTAGTTTTAATTTGCAGGTGGATTGGTTTGCAACGTTGATACAGCGGTAGAATAATTGAAATCGTTGTCATCAATTACGAGAGAATCAAAAATTTAATCAAACTATAAGTAATTTCTCAGGTATATTTCAAGAAAGAAGAACCCACGTATGAAACCAGGTGACAGGCATAAAAAAAATGAATGGGTCAAGTTGTCGAAATGGTGACGCATTTTTTTCGATCACAGTGCGTGCAGTGCAGAGAGAGCAAACGCAGACTGGGCTAAACTGGGTCTGGACGACCGCTATAAGTGCAAAAACTGCATCGTTATTCAGACAATGATTGAGCCGATCATTTCATTGATTGACCGCAAACTAAGACAATCACGGGCTAACGAAATGGTAGATAAATTTTCAAATTAAATAATTTCAAACGTTCCCTTTTCAAGAAAAGTTGGACACATTAAGTACTTAAGTTGAGACACTAAGTAGGTCATCATTGAAGATAAATTCCTCCTAAATATCACAGAAAAGCTCAAAAAATCGCCCGCCGGAAGCCGTGCGTTCTCTCAAATAATGTTGCAAATGATAATTATTCGGTGCTTATTTGGAGGTCAGGTGGCGGTTAAATGTAGGCTTAGTGGATATTTCAGAAAGTTGAGGTATTGATCAACTCAACTTGTTTGCTTTGATGAAATGAAAATCTTTATAACAACAATTGCGGCAAAGAGTATAAGATTTTTGTTGATAGCTTTCTCGCTAGTGTTTAAATAAAGAGTTTCTCGAACATTCTTAAAATTTAAGTAAAATAAGCCATAAGGACCTGAAAAATTTGCATACAAATTGTTTTTGTCTACAATTTTAATTTCTTCTTTATATCATATTCAATGCACCAAACTTTACACACACGACGGCAATGCTATGTATCACTATGTATCAAGTTCAACATAGTCTGAATGTAAATCAACTTTCAACCCCATACCAGAAATTTAAATTCAAATCTTCACTTTCAAAAAAATTTTCCTTCCGTTTGAATACCAATATTGTGCCCCTACAATTCGCAGTGGAGGTGAAAAAATATTTCAGTCCAGTCCGAATTTAAATTCTTTAAGTGCTCAAAAAATTAATTGTTTCCCGCGCTACCGAAAAGTTAGAGGGTTTATCCTTTACAAAATAACTAAAAAAGTGCCGAAATGAAATATAGCATAAAGAATTGCAAAAACAACGGCTCTGCTCAACGGGACCTTTAATCAAAGTACTATTTCTCTACCATAAAATAGTTGAACTCGCTCACAGAATAGACCATGGGACTTAGTTCACGAAAACCTGGGTGATAGAATCTGACAAAATATCTAATTAAGAAATAAATTTTTCATGGGGACTTTAGCGTCCTTGAATTTTCATCCGCAGAAAAGATCCGTGATGATAAAAAGATCCGTGATGATATAGCAGAGCAATGAGTCTAAACTGCCTTACTTGGTCCTTATCTGCTTAATGCTGATTCTTATCCTGAACGTACGACTATTTAATTATAATTTACTCAATATTTGTAATGAACCTTAACTGCCTGATTTGATCCTTACCTGCTTAATGGTGATGCTTATTCTGCACGCACGACTATATAATTATAATTGTACTCAATATTTTTAATGAGCCTTAAAAAAGTCTCATTTCAAATATTGAGTGAAATTATAATCAACTAGTCCTGACTTAGTCCTTATCTGTCTAACGGTAATTCTTATCTTGAGCACCTACGGCTTTCTAATTGTCATTTCATTCGATGTTGTGAAACATAAACCACGTGCATGAAGCACGTGGTTTATTCCAAGCACGGCGGTAAATTTCAGAGCATCCTTGCACAACATCCAGAGCCTTCACTTCATTTCTATGTTAATTCGATGGCCTTTATTGGCCCATTGTTAATTTTTCAATAACCTTTACCAATACAAAAGATTAAATAAAACTAATTATGCTGTTACCTATTCAGTAAAACTGATATGAGAATAAATACAACTATTTAAAATTCAAAGAAATTTGCATTGTCGAATCTGTGATGGTCTGAACACAATGTGATGGTCCGAACACAATGTGTTGACCGAACACAATGTGATGGTCCGAACACAATGTGATGGTCCGAACACAATGTGATGGTCCGATCTATACAGTTCTCTGTGACCATCTATACAGTTCTCTGTGACCATCTATACAGTTCTCATCTAACATCTACTTTTCTTTCAATCAATGAAATTAACCTGGTTTTTCTCTATTTTTGACGGCTCTATTTTTATTTCAAATTTTATTTAACGTTTACTTATTTCAAATATACCTTATTATGCTGCTTTGATTATAATAATTATTCGTTAAATTTTATGGAATAATTTTGGGATATGTTCAATATTATAATGCACTTCTTCCGTGCATTATACTATAATTAGTGCATTATACTTCAATAATTACTACAATAATTACGATGACAATTTGTAGATGACCAAATAAACCACACCATACAAAGCAAGTCAAAATATCTCAACAATGACACTTTTGAAGAGCTCGAAATGCGCCCTCGTTAGCAGGCGCTTAAAAGCCTGGGTCGTTATGAGACAGTCATCCCACCAAGTATCCCTGATACCGGCCAAAGCAACTATTAGAACTATTAAAAATATAACTCAATACTCACTGCAGTGAGTTCTCGTCGACGAAAACGTGAAGTCACGGACAGACAGACGGACATGACGAGCACAATAGCGCCTTTTTTCCTTATATGAGAAAATGCGCTAAAAATTGGTCAATTTAAATATTTATCGGTAAATTTGTTATTTTCGGTACAACAATCAATTTTTTCATATAATTGAAAATATATAATAATATATTTCCTTTGGAAAATTTTTGACAGCCAACGTCATCCAAAAAGACCTAAATCGTCAAATTTGGCCGGAAAAAGTCCATGTGGCACCCAAATTACCGTACAGCTTTTCATAGCGGTTTTTGCCAGATGATCGTCGCGCTCAAATGCCACGCACTTTGATTTTACGTCTCTAAAGATGGCGCTGGCGGCAAATTATTGAATTGATCCTGAAACTCTAAAAGGTCGTTTCATTTTAACGTTATTAGGTATTTTATTTCCAAGGCGGTGCTTACGTAAATTTCATTTCAATGCATGGTCTCCAAATTGTTCCTGAAAATGTGTCGTTCTGGTTAATTTGCTGCATTGACGAGCGGTTGTAATTAGTAATAATCGTTATTTTTAGTTGTAATTATGATGTTAACACGAAAATAGAATTTAATTTTTTCGTTAACCGTGCATTGAAAACTTTGTTTTCATGGCTAACAAATAAAAAATGTTAAAGCTCGATTGTTTTTATTTTCAAGGAGCGGTCGTTATTGTTAATCGTTCCAGAAGCAGAGTAACGATGTCCTAGCCTTACCCACACATTCAATTTATTTTAATTGTGATTAAGCAGCCTCATGTATTAGGCCAGAAAGAATCAGCTCCTTCTTCTCATTCCTCTTCAGTAACAATTGGCTTTTTTTTGCTTTGCCTATCTTCTTGCAACACATGGCAGCGCTTTCTCTTCCTCCACTTCAATTGCCACCTTTTATTTCTAACACTTATTTACAAATGACACCAAATTCTTATTTATTTATAAATAACACTTCTTATTTGATGCCAGTCATTATAATCCACCTTTTCTTGGTAACACCTCTAATTAATTACTAGTGCCCCCTTCTATTTGATGCCATTTCATAATTGATCCAACCCAAAATATTCCACCTCTCACTTGTTACCACCTCTTATTTACCGGTATTTCGCAAAAACCATTCCTGTGGTAAAGTGAATCACTTCAACACTTCCTATTCTTGTCGCCGGGGTTTGCCTGGTGCGCCACAAAACGCCTCTGACGAGTCAGCAGCGATTTGCAATCTGGGCGTGGGAAATTCGGTGAAATCCTGCGAAGCGGCGAGATTTTGACGGCAGGGCTTCTCGAGCAGGCCTCTCGTGCAGGCCTATTCTATTGGAGCAGGCCGTTCATGCAGGCCTATCCTATTCCAGCAGGCCGACCTCATGACCTATCCGTACCTCATGACCTATCCGCACCTCATGACCTATCCGTACCTCATGACCTATCCGTGCCTCATGACCTATCCGTACCTGGTGAGCTCATCAAAATTTTTCTTCGAGTCCCATTTATGTTTTGTATTTTACGGTTAGAGATTGTTGCGCTGGTCGACACATAATTTCTAGTGTTTTACCAGCGGTTTAATGTGAATCTTTCAATATTTACATAGAATAAAACTGATAGCTAAGCAATTTACATTGAAAATTATATCGTAATTAATCCATTGTGTTTTTCATTAAAGATACAAAAGCATGCCGGTCCTTTAGCCTCGGTTTAATTTTAATCAATAATCTGAAAACCTCGGCTTCATATGGATAGTTTTTAATATAATAACAATCCATACAAATGCAAAAAATCATGAAATTTTAAGTGATTTATCCAGTAAGAACAAGATGTGCAAGAAACTAAGCTGCTTCCAATTCATGAAAATAAATTTAAACAGACAGTCACAAATTCGACCGTCTTCGCTTCGGCATGAACCACTCAATTCATTAGTTGCAAGTTCTAACAGCAGGATGTGTCATTATTTATTTAAACAGGTCTGGTTTAGAATAAAATTTCTTGTATATGCGGGCAAGTGAGGTGTTGTTAGAATTTTAGATGGGAATGCGACAGCGTGCGTGCCTGCGAGCTAGGGGCATTGCCAGCCAGCGAGAACCTAGCGCCAGTCAGCATGGGTCATCCTGATGCAGTTTCGCTAGCGAGCAACAAATTCTAACCCCTCCCCTCACTTCTGTGGCCTAGTTGGTATCAGATAATATTTTATCAGAAATGTGAAATTTTTAAACGCTGTAGAAGCTGTCAGGTATTACGATTCACAGGAAATTAAATGCACGATGTCGATGACATTAAAATGATAAAATATCTTATAAATTTGTATTTGTGTGCACAATTTATAATACGAAATTATGAAGGGTCATCGGAGGGAGACAGGATGATGCGGACAACTGATCACTGGAGGCTTTACGGGCAAATGACGTCACAACAGCGTAAAATTAACGTTGATTCAAAGAATACCCGTTTAATTCAACGTTGATTCAGTGTCCGATGTGAAGCATCGTGTCCGATGTGAAGCAGTGTCTAAGCGGTTCGTGCGAATGAGGCGCGCTCGAATATTGTTCGTTTGAGGTGAATAAGAATGGCACGCATGGGAAGCACGTGAATTATACGTACAGTGCATGCACGAATTGCACGTACAAAGCGTAGACGAATTGTACGTTTTTAGCGTACAAGTATTGTATGTACAGAGCGCACGCGAATTATACGTTCAGAGCGTACACGAGTTCTATGTTCAGAGCGTACATGAATTATACGTTCAGAGCGTACATGAATTATACGATCGGAGCCCACACGAATTATGCGTTCAGAACGTACACGAATTATACTTTCAGAGCGCACACGAATTATACGTTCAGAACGTACACGAATTATACGTTCAGAGCGGACACGAATTCCACGTTCTGCGTATTCGAGAATGAATCGATTAATTTAAAATGAGAAGTTTCGGGAATTGAAGAAAAGGTTCGTGTTGACATCTCAAGCAGTTGTAAGCAGGACATTGCCAGCTGCGTTTAGTGCACCAATTTATATGAAGTATCAACATATGTTCACTTTTTTAATTGGTTTTCAGGCAGTCAGAGAGCTCATTATAGTAATGCATCACCGAAAATTTATGACTAGCATCAATACTTAACAGTAATCCGGTTCACATTACAAACCTTAAATGCCTAGAGGGATTTAAAATCGGACAATAACTTTTCCCAGCCCACTACCAGATAGAGTTTGCTATGTATGCCGCGGCTCGTTCATTTGCAATAAACTCATCTCGCGCGCAATTGGCTTCAGGCTCAGCAGAATTGCCACTTATTTTTTAATGTATACTTATAACATTTGAATGGACAAGAAACTTTATATCCTATTATATTTTTCCAGTATTATTGTCTGAGTCCCATTTATAATGGCTGAATTCAATCATTTGTGATGGCCGTATCTGTGTTGAACATGATCCTGAACTTTGTTACTCAATCAACCTCCACCATGAAGAACCCTATGAACACTTCAACAGACCTTCTGGGTACTTCTTCCTATTTTATACCAACCACATCTCAAGTAACTAACACTTATCACCCGCAACAACCAACGTCACCACAGGACCAAGAGGCTTTCATTGCAGATGATGCGGCCGTAGAGAACCCTAATTCGACACTATCCTCAACACTATCCTCAATGTCTTCAGAATACTATTCCAACACCCACGACCTCCTAGGGCCAGTAAATGTCACTGAGCTGCCGGAGGACATGCAGTTCAACGACAGCACTGTCATCTTCATCGCCTGCTACACCGTCATCATGGTCGTGGGGGTGGTCGGGAACATGTGTGTTCTTCGTGCCATCTTGGCGGGCTCAAGACGACACAGGAAGTCGCGGGTCAACTTCATGCTTCTGCATCTTGCTATCGCTGACCTCATCGTAAGTATTCTAGATTATTGAAATTTTGTGTATAAATCCCGTAATAATAATGTGGCATATATATTCAAATTAAATAAAACTTCATTCAAACTAACATTTTAAATAGAATATATTACCCACATTTAACATTTTACCCACTTTAACACATTAACTATTTAACCCACAGTTCAAAAACGTGAAACAAACTATTTTTCGTCTCTTAAATCACATTATATTTACCAATTTGAAAAAAATTGGGGAAATCACAATTCCCCCTTTTCTCCAATTTTTTCCTATTCTTCCACCAAGAATAAAGCTTCATGTCCAGGTAATATCCCGACATGATAAGTATCCTGGATACGCGCCCCAACAGCCCCCAAATATTTGCAGTGTCAGGCTTCAAACACACAAACATGGATAAATATACATAAGATTACCTTGCACCAACTAACAACTCAGATATTCGTCACAGTTCATTTATGTGTTTGTTTGAAACCAGACGCTGTATATTTAAGGGGCCACCAGGGCTGGTACCCACGATACTAAATTATCAATTAGGGATATTGTGAATACTTCATTATGAAGTATCCATATCATGACGAATGATATTTATCGATCATTATGAAGTACGATATCATACTTAAATTTTAAATACATAGTACGATATGTATGATGTACTTATCGTACTTCATAAAGTTATATTTGCGACGGCAAAATCACGAAGTATTGAGAAATGAAAGGTCACAGTTGATATAGAAGATTGGAATGTAATTTTAACATTTGTCAATTTTATTCGAAAATATAAAATTTTCTAATAAACTTTAAAAAAACAAAAGAAGAAGTTGAATTGGGAGTTCGTGCTCAACGTGGGACGGAAGAAGATTTGCATTAATTGGCGTAATTATTTCCAAAATTACTAACTGGATTTGGGAAGATGAGATTCAAGAAGCCCGAGGTCCTCATGACGGGATTTCAGCTGATCGGATTCAGGATGCCAGGATTCGGAATAACGAAATTTTCATATTGAATATATTCCCTGTCCAGGATAACGAACAAGCTGCTAATTTCTCACGAAGCAATACATTATAAAAGTTTGAAAATAATAAAAGGCCTAAACCCTGATTTTAAGGTTAAGTTGTCATTGATTATGAACGAGTATTACAATGAAATTAGTCATGTCATGATTGAAAGTTTTGACTGAACGTTCCTGTGAATTGAGACGAAATGTTGTTGAAAAAATCATAAAAATTATCATTAACCATTAAAAATTGCAGGAAAAATCAGCGGTTTCATTTTATTTTACGCCGCTTATGCAGAAATGTTCAGTTGTGCGAGCTACCATAAGTTCAAGATAATTTTGCAATTTTGTGAATTTTAAATATTTTCAATCCCCGACAAGTTTGTTCGAAAGTTGATACCAAAAATTGAGTAAATATATAAGATTTATCTCCTAAATTTGCCTTTGCGTAAAATGATGCATAGATCTAATACGTGGATGGCACCCGGAGCTTCGCAAGCGCTGTTATGGCAGCTATTATTGCCCATAGCAATTGCCTGGAGCAGCTCCCGGCAAATCTCATTTGTAGGCTCAATAGCCTCGAGTATCGGCATGTTTAGCTCACAAAATATCGCCTCATTTGTAGGCTCAATAGCCTCGA